TATTTTTCAGCTCAGATATCTTAGTCACTTTGTTTTGCGATTCTGTTGCAAGGCTACAGTGCCCTGGATGGTTGAACAAATTTTGATCTTAGGTTATCGGCCTACTATGCGCACTTACGTTGTTCAAAATTTCGGGGTGCAACGGTTGTATGTGAATATTATGGTGGTATAATGGTTTTATCACGATTGAAAGGAATTTCAACGAAGAGCGGCGAAAATGGACAGAATACAAAAAATACTGAGCCTTAAGGATACTGGGTGGCCATGCTTTACATCCACTTTACTTTGCTACATCCTTTTGAATTTGGCTTTCGCCCTTGAATTTGAGTTCAACACGTTGGCATGACAAAGGTGTCAGTGTACTCTCCTACTGTTTCAGTTATAATATAAAGTAATTTTCAATACCATATTTTTTTTGAAAAAGTTTTAGGGCTCTTATCTGTGCAGACGAATACATCGACACTTCAGACAATACATGTTGGGAACAGGGGATTTTCCCTCTTCCATATCCTTTACGGGTAATTTGTGGTCTAATAGCTTTTTTTCCGTGGTACTCTTTATTCAATCTATCTATTTGTTAGGTTCACGAAGGCGAAATTGTTATTGTAAAGTGGACATTGAAGGGCACTAGATTCGATATGGTGGTGGAAAATTCCTTGAATTTGAATGAGGTGCGGGCCTACAAACACTCGTAACTTTGCCAGACTGCCTAACTTAGCAAGGAAAATACTGTCCTCATATGATTGCAGGAATCTCCCAATAGAGAGCTCATAACACGAGGTGAACGCGACTACCGAACAATGAATAATGACATGCTCCTTTATGCTATAACTCGTTTGCTACCCTCGGTTAGCCGATACTCATGGAATTTAGATATCAGTCTTAGTGATGAGGAAGCTAGTGTTGTTAGGTCAGGCTTTTTTTCTCCACTTTGATGTAAGGTGATTTTCTCTTTTTAGGAATTTACCGCATTTTTTGATCGATCCGAAGGATATAGAAGGTGCACTAGTGGGGGAAATGGATGAAGCTAACTGTGAGCCCATTTTGAAATAGACTTGCTTTTTATTTTAAAAAATATATAAAATTGAGAAAACATCTGATTTTGCACTTTTTTGCTTCCCAGTCAAAATTTTCGCATTAAAATTTTTTCAAGAATCAGAAGAATTTGGGTATGTGATCATGTCATTTGTTGCATTCGTAGATGCTTTATGTTCTATTAATGTAAGCTTGCCGGAATCGCTTGTAAAGCGTCCTCGAAAAGGAACAGATTGGTTCTTCGCTTGGAATTTGTACCAAATTGCTTTTTGTCGACAAATTTAAAAAAAAAAACGAATATCTGGAAAAATCTTTGATATTGAGGTAAGGCACTGATTGATGTTCCTTTAAAGTTGTTTAAATTTTAAACTTTTTTGAAGCATTATTTTGATTTGCAAATTCAGTCTTGCTTTCAATTATAATTTTGTAAAATTGTGCCAGACTGAGTGATATTAAGTTATGGTCGATCCCTAACAAGATTTAAAAAAACGCATACGGACAAAAGGAGGACGCGCGGACACCTCTGTTTTACGAGGCAGAAAATAGAATCAGCTGTTTCTGCAGCTTAGAAGGGTGATATGTGGTTTTTTGCTGTTTATTTTGTCTCTTGCAGTACAACCGTAACAGCGGACCACCCTAGAGGTACTTGGTTGCCTATTCTAAAAGGTACGGAGAGAAATGCTCTGTCTGCTCATGAGATGTCCATTTGCCATACATCTCTGTTTTTATTCAATCTCGTCGTATTTTCGATCGTTCTCCGTTGAATCGATGACACTTTCACAAAAAAAGTGTATCTGGTGGTAGTAATCAATAAAGCACTTCCGCAGTTGAGACAACTGACCAGCAAAGAAAACAATGGCTACAGTTCATCTGGATGGGACAGAAAACTTCCTTGATAGCTTGAAAATGATATAAAGGACATAATAGACCAAAATGCGATAAGATTGCTATGAAGGTGCAAGAAAAATGCGCATAAATCCACAAAACCAAACAGACCGATTCTTTTACTACTATGAAGTACTAATAGGCAACCAAACTTGTGCGGGAGCAACTGACATCTTGCCTTCAAAAATGATAAATATAAAGAAGACCCGGAAAAATCGATGTACTCTCCCTCTCAGCTGCAGAAACAGCTGTTTTTCTTATCGGCGTCCGTAACTCGAAGGAGTCGTGCGCCGTTCCTTTGCTCGCAAGCGCTTTTGTTATCTTGTCTCAGGAATAGACCATACCAATGGACGACGATAGAAAAAGACAACTCATGGGGGAATCCTTAGACCTAGAACAAAGTTGTATTTCGCGGGAATTTTGGGTGGGAAGAGTTTTTTTTCCTGCATCATGTTGATCTTTATTTGATGCTTATGTGGTTAAATCCCAAACAATTGTCTGAGTGTTTGTTTGTCATACTTCGAAACTTTTGTCTAATAGTAGTTGCTAGTTGGGCTTTCTGGTTGTCAAAGTGAACAGAAAACTGTAAAGTTCTTTTTAGCCTAAATCTAACCTTGATGCTAGGTCAAACTTCACTGTTTGCGTAAAAGTGGGAAAATGGATGATTTATCGCTCATTTGTCAAGCTAAGATTAACTTTGTATTACAGCCGATCTTTGCATCATTGTGTGGCCAATTCGAGCAGATGGTTCAGTGAGCGAAGTTTTTTTGAACTCATTGCGAACTCTTCGGTGTGGTAATGATGTGCCGCCATCTTTAAAGTACTGCGGCTTTCTCACAGGTACTTTTCATATATATTCTAATGTTTAAAGGCGGCTGACTCTGACATTTTGAGATGTTGAGATTCAGAAATAGTTAATTATAGTCAAGAAGTTCAGCACATATCTCACTTTTTGGCATAATTTAAATGAATGTTTGCGCCGGGATGTTCCAATTTTTCTTGTTGATTGCATATCATTTAAGTAATCTATAGCTGGTATAAAATTTCTTATTATTTGTTAGATCGCCTTTCTGCCCATGGAGTCCTTGTTTCGTCCTCTAGACTGTCGAAACTAACTAGAGTACAGCCAAGCTCTTTCTGTGGTGCGGATCTCTCTCCTATTCAAATGTACAACCTTTTGGAGTATAGAGATATCGATATCTGTAAGCGTTAGTTTTTTTTGCATCTGGCTCCGTGAGAATTCCATTCAATTCTAGCAACTTTTGAACATCATGTCTGCTCAAATGATTTCGCATTTTTACATTTGGGAGAGGAGGACACGGAATTAATGTCGAAGAAAATCGAGGTCGCTCAAATGCTTGGCAAGGTTGATGGAAGGCTTCATATACCTTTTACATTTAGGTGCGGTGCACCAATCCCGGCCTTATTGAAGGTGTCTTATATTGGTGGCAGTTCGGTAACTATTCAACTCGACAAGATCGTGGAGCTTTTTTTATTTTCAAAGAACCGATTGCAGCCAATGCTGGCACAGTGGTGAGTTAATTTAGCATGTTGAAATGCCATTCATTACAGTTTACCTGTAGGTTTTTTT